TTGCTGAAAGGTAAATATTTCTGCCAGTGATATGTCTGTTAGAATATGACTGGTAAAATGCATCATTGGATGTGACCAGTGAATTCAGGTCAGGTTTTGTAGATGATAATTGCAGAAATTGAGACATTTGTAACACTTGAGTAGGTTAGAATGGAGCTTTTAAAATTATTGGTGATTACTCTGATCAACTAGTTCTTGCTTTCTAGCAGTTTTGAGGATCGTCTGTCAGGTGAGGTTTTTGACTTGATAAAAATATTAACCTGAAAAACTTTCTTAATAACTTATAGTTTCTTACAATATATTATAATCTCAATTTTAGGACTAGAGGATAAAATAAGGAAATATACACAATTCATGTCAAAAAGTATTTGCAAAATTTATGTGAATTTTTAAAGTACTTGCAAGGTATTATTGTAGGGCATAGAAATTAGGATGGCTGCTGATAATTAGGGCAGGAAGTTTTGTAGTGTATTACACATGTAGTAACAGGCTTGATGTTTGTCTTAGGGTATCAAGCTTACTATTGACAGGGTTTCTGATAGTAGTGTACCAGTACTACTGTAAATCCCATATGAAGTGAGTTAGTTTCTTCTACTGTATGAGTGGTTGGAGGAAAAAGGAAAAGGGAGCAGAAGGATGAACAAAAAAGAAAAAAAGGCAACTAGAAAAAGTTCTGTGTAAGCCTGCAGATCAGTAATGGCAAATGTGCTGGTAATACATTTACTCTGCTTCATGGGCAGCCAACATGAGGCATATTGCAAAATGTAATCTGGAAAAAGGGCGAGTACTCAAGCCTAATGTTTCAGGAGGTTTTGGTGGATAACTGCCAAGTAGTTGTTTGTTGGTATCTGATTTTAAAATTTTTAAAATACAAACAAAAGACACTTGCAACTTTTTTCAAACTATAGATCTAAAATAACATGTGTATGCTTTAAAGATCTCTTCTAGCCTGGTGTGCTTTTTACATGTGTGCGTTTCAGTGATGCGTATGATGTTTGAAGGGCAGATGTACATTTCATAATGATTCAAAATCCTCTTTTATTTTTAAATTTGCAAACAAAAAAAGTAAAAATAGCACACAGTCATCTTGACTCTGTGTTAAGGCCTCTTGATTATGGCAATTGTGTTTGCTGACAGTTCCACAAGAAAAACCTCTTTTTGAAGGGTCAAGTCAGTTACAGGAGAATTACATGTGGAACAAAGTGTACTTAAAGTTAGCTTATGAGCTAGTAATGGTTCTCAAATAAAAGTTTACCAAAATTAAACCCAGAAGAGATCATTACATTATTCAGTCTGATTTCCTATATATTATGGGCCACTCAAACTAGCCTGAATATTCCAATTCTCAGAAAATTAAAATATATGCCATTGTCAGAGAGCAGCAGCAGACTGAGTTATAATAATGATCTTTTTGCAGAGGAGGAATTGTTCCAAGTGCATTTCGGGGCTATGAAGGAGGAATGGGGTTGCTGACCCCAATGGTAAACTTGACAGGGCTTCTATAACCAGCTGGCCCTTCCCGAAGTGATTTCCACTGTTTCCACTTCAGAAATACTTGACCAGAAAAAACAAACAAAAAAAAAAAACATCAAGCAAAACCCCGACTTTCTCTGGCACCTTTCTCCACTGGGTGTCTGCATCCATGTCCAGATGCTTGCTGGTCCATAAAAAAACAGCATGAAGCCTGTGAAATAAATGACCCCTCACTTTTTCCACTGGCTGTGAGATTACATATGATCTGTACCGAGACAGGCACACCAGAGAAAGCCCTCTCTGTAAGCACAGCTGCGCTAGCAAAACTGTGCTTTTGTTGGTAATGTTTATTTACCAACAGAGTTTATCTGGGGGCAGGATAGGCTATGTTGACAAAAGCACAGCTTTGCTGCTATCATGTCTATCACAGCAAAAAAAATTGTTACATTTTCTATTTTTTTCTGGCAAAGACTTGTAATGGGTGATAAAAGTGCATGCCCTTTATTCTTGGGAAGCTGCAATCCTCTTCACCACGCAGCTCAAGCAAGCTCAGCAACTCATGCGCTGCCAACAAGCAAGTGCTTATCTGACACCATATAAGGTTGCAGTCGAGAAGGAGAATGACGAAAAACATTCCACAATAAACTTAGACTGGCAGATTAATATGACACAGAAAAGCTTGGATATAGCTTCTTTTTGCCCTTTTTTAAACAATAATTTAGCTCTGACAGTATTTACCTGCAAAATGACCTTTTACAGTTAATTAGGAAAACTGGTTTGTGCTTCTAGATTTGCTGAACAGTCCTGTCCCAGAATAACAAGCCTTTAGGACGCTTGTAGACATACAGGGTTTTTTTGTTTTTCTTGGAATTACTACCATTAGAAGCAGGAGACAAGCCACCTTTAGGCTACAAGGTTGTGGGAGTGTTGGGATGTGTTTGAGGACAGGGTGGGGAACTGGATATCACAGAGAGGAGTGTACTGAGAAGGAATTATGGTTGTGAAGATGGATTTGTATCAGAATTTTAACAAGGTGTGAGATACAGCAACGTGATGATGTTTGAAAGTGTCAAGGATGATGCTGCAGGAGAGAGACAGGCTCCCCTTTTCCTCAGTATATTGCTTGCATCTTTGCTATCCTCCTATTCTCTGATCTTTATAATATGATGGCCCACTGAGTTAGTCTGGTACGTTAGATAATAGTTGTAGTCCAACTTCAGTAGCCATCGGTGGCCTAAATCTGAGTTTCCAAACCGTTCCCTGCCTGGTGGCCCCTATAGTTGTAGTCCAACTTCAGTAGCCATTGGTGGCCTAAATCTGAATTTCCAAACCGTTCCCTGCCTGGTGGCCCCTGCTTTTGGCTGTCCTCCTGGAGAACAGGCTGTCTTCATCTCCTGCAGATGTCACTTTCCCCAAACCATCAGCAGCTGAGGCGATGGTGAGGTGACATGAGAGGCGCTGCAGCTGCCTGATGCTTCTTCCTTCAGGAGGAGGTGGGAGCATCCCCCATGATGCATCTACCACCCCCCCCCCCCCC